CCAAAAGTTTTCCTTGCATTTGTTAGGTACTTTTTATAGGAAATTAAAGTAGGGATGATTTTGCGATGGGGGGGGGCAGGTGTTTTTTTTTTTTTCATATTTAGCTTTTGCCATGAAATTGTTTTATGATTGTATGTTATAAACTAGTAGGACTCATTCAATGTGTTGTATTATTTTCTATGACTTTGTCATAGCCAGGCATTAAAAACAAACAAACAAACAAACAAAACAAAAAACCTAATAGGATAACTATATTTCCTCTTGAGGAAAATAGGAAAAAAGAAAGAAGCCTATTAATATAATTCTGAAACACTGTCGAATGCTGATAGCATATCTTAAGATCCTTGTGAGTGTAAAAACTATAGTATCCACAACTATGTAGTTTGATACATCATAAAATCCTTTATTTCTTATTATATGAGAGTACCAGGCATTCATTCCACAGATACTTCGAACTTTCTCCTTTACAACATAATACATAGTAACTTAGAGATGAATAATAAGCTCTTCTGTTTCCCCATAGTCTGTATGCCTACTTCCCCCATTTCTCACTGTGTCATTGTCTTAACTTGACCAGAGTCTCTGTTTGCCATTCACTAGCATCTTTTTCCCTTCCTGTTTTCACCTGAAAATTATCGATCACTTATTTATGAAAGCTCCAACAATACATACAAGAATGATCCCCTTTTTTTTCTTTTTGGATTTCAGTAAAACTTTACTTATGAAAATAGATGGGGGCTGGATTTTTTTTTTTTTTAATTTCAGCACATTACAGGAGTACAAATGTTAAGGTTACATATATTGACTTTGCCCCACCCAAGTCAGAGCTTCAAGTGTGTCCATCCCCCAGATGCTGTGCACTATACCAATTAGGTATGGATATATTCTTCCCCACCTCTCCCCACCACCTGCCCAACACCTGATGAATGTTACTACTATATGTGCCCATAAGTGTTGATGAGTTAATACCAATTTGATGGTAAGTACATGTGGTGCATGTTTTTCCATTCTTGTGCTACTTCACTTAGTAGAATGGGCTGCAGCTCTATCCAGGATAATACAAGAGGTGCTATATCACCATTGTTTCTCATAGCTGAATAGTACTTCATGGTATACATATACCACATTTTATTAATCCACTCATGTATTGATGGGCACTTGGTTGTTTCTACATCTTTGCAATTGTGAGTTCGTGCTGCTATAAACATTCTAGTGCATATGTCTTTTTTATAGAATGTCTTTGGTTCTTTGTAATGGGGTTGTTGGATCAAATGGTAGTTCTACTTGTAGCTCTTTGAGGTATCTCCATATTACTTTCCACAGAGGTTGTACTAGTTTGCAGTCCCACCAGCAGTGTGTGAGTGTTCCTAGGTCTCTGCATCCACACCAACATTTATTGTTTGGGACTTTTTGATAAAGGCCATTCTCACTGGAGATAAGTGATACTGTGGTTTTGATTTGCATTTCCCTGATGATTAGAGATGTTGAGCATTTTTTCATGGGTTTGTTGGCCATTAGTCTGTCTTCTTTTGAAATGTTTCTGTTCGTGTCCTTTGCCCACTCTTTGATAGGGTTGTTTGATTTTTTTCTTGCTGATTTTCCTGAGTTCTATATTCTAGTTATCAGCCCTTTATTGGATGTTTAACATGTGAATATTTTCTCCCATTCTGTAGGTTGTCTGTTTGCTCTCATGATAGTTTTCTTGGCTATGCAGAAGCTTTTTAATTTGATGAGGTCCCATGTATTTATTTTTGTTGTTACTGTGATTGCCTTTGGGGTCTTCTTAAATTCTTTGCCTAGGCCAATGTCTATAAGAGTTTTTTCAACATTTTCTTCTGGAATTTTTATGGTTTTACATCTTATATTTCAATCTGTTATCCACCATGAGTTGACTTTTGTGAGAGGTGAAAGGTTCAGATCCTGTTTCTACATGTGGTTTCTACATGTGACTTCTACATATGGCTATCCAGTTTTCCCAGCACCATTTATTGAAAAAGGATTCTTTTCCCCAGTATATGTTTTTGTTTGCTTTGTTACAGATCAGATGGCCATATGATGGTTTTATATTTTGGTTCTCAGTTCTGTTCCCTTGGTCCATGTCTCTGTTCTTGTGCCAGCACCATGCTGTTTTAGTTACTATAGCCTTGTAATATAGCTTGAAGTCTGGTAAATTGACGCCTCTCAATTTGTTCTATTTTTGCTTAAGATTGCTTTTGCTATACAGAGTCTTCTCTGGTTCCACACAAAGCATAGAGTTATTTTTCCTAGATCTATGAAAATGATGTTGGTATTTTAATAGGTATTGCATTGAATCTGTGGATCATTTTGGGTAGTATAGACATTTTAACAATGTTGATTCTGCCACCTCACAAGCATGGTATGATTTTCCACCTGTTTATGTCCTCTGTTATTTCATTCCTCAGTGTTTTGTAGTTCTCATTGTAGAGGTCTTTTACCTCCCTAGTTAAATATATTCCTAGGTATTTTACTTTCTTTGTTGCTATTGCGAAGGGTATTGAGTCTTTGATTTGGTTGAGTTTGACTGTTGTTGACATATAGGAATGCTCTTTTGAAATTTAAATGTGAGATATAGATGTTCTAAATTCCTGACATGATACTTTCTTAATAAGTATTAATCTTCCTCTTTCCTTACTTTTTTCAGAGGTATTTGGTGAGGACCCAATGAATTAATGTGTTGAATCATAATAGGTGAAGAGTTCAAATAGGATTCAAATCTTATCTCTGCTACTTAACAGCAGTGTGACCCTGGGTATTATATAGTCTTTTGGAATAGTTTCTTATTTTGTAAAATAAGAATAATCATTCCTAGTTCATGCAATTTTTTGTGAGGATAATGTGAAATGTATATAAATTTCTCTGTGCTGGACCTGGCATCTATCATATGTTACTAAGATATTATTAAAATACTTTATTCCAATTTTTATCTATGGTTTGACTTATGTTCAGTGTCTCCTAAGATATTTTCCAAACAAGATTTTAAGTTTCTGGAAGGTACCCAGATTTGACTGCTCATTGAACTCTGTAGCTCAACCTGGAATTGTGTTATGTCCATAGTGCCCTTACTTGTTCAACTTAAGACTGGGAGAATAACTGCCTGTGATTTTTGATCTACTCACCTGTCAGCTGCTACCCCTAGGATAGTCAGTGGCAGCAACAGGTTTGGTAAATCATTAACTGTAATTAAAGCTAAGTCAGATTCATGCATTGTCCAAATATAATATCATAGCAATTATGTGACTAGAACCTTGTGAAGGATTAATGACAAAAGAAGGCACATGTTTGTGTAACATGCATCCATTTTTTTTTGTACTATGGCCATATCTACTGTATTTCTTTTAAAAAAAATGTATGTGTGTCTGTGGTCTACTATGAGTGTCATGAAATGCAGCCCACTACTTAGATGTCCCTGACACATGCTGAATGCTCCGTAATGACTTCATGATGACTAGTTTTAAGGAAGAAAATAAAATTAAAAGAAGAAAAGAAAGGAACTGAACATTAGCAAAGGCAGCAAAAGGTTGGAGAGATGGTGAATACCACGAGAGACAGCGTTGGCCATTGCTTTTCTAACTTTTATATATTGGATCTGTTAGTATCATTATTTATATTATAGTGCTTGTTTTTTTTTTTTTTTGAGACAGAGTCTTGCTTTGTTGTCCAGGCTAGAGTGAGTGCCGTGGCGTCAGCCTAGCTCACAGCAACCTCAAACTCCTGGGCTCGAGCGATCCTTCTGCCTCAGCCTCCCGAGTAGCTGGGACTACAGGCATGAGCCACCATGCCCGGCTAATTTTTTATATATATATCAGTTGGCCAATTAATTTCTTTCTATTTATAGTAGAGACGGGGTCTCGCTCTTGCTCAGGCTGGTTTTGAACTCCTGACCTTGAGCAATCCGCCCGCCTCGGCCTCCCAAGAGCTAGGATTACAGGCGTGAGCCACCGCGCCCGGCCAATAGTGCTTGTTTTAAAATACTGTCTTTTAAAAAGCTCTATAGCTGTGGCATATTTAAAGATATACTTTTTAAGCTACTAAAATCAATTATTTGGGAGCAAGAAGGATAATTTAAAAATAACACACTCTTAGCCAACCAGGAAGAAATAATATGGAAATAATTTTTTCCTGGTATTCTATAAAATAAAAATAAAATATACTGCAAAATTTTCGATGCTTTTCTAAATCTTACTTTTTCCTTCAAGATTTGCTTATGCAGCAGTGATTTTGTTGATGCTCTGTAAAATCTGTCATTTTATGAACTATCCCCGTGAGGTAGATCTCAGTGAACCCCTTGTTGATAAGAAATACGGAACACAGAAAGTTGAATAATTTGTCTTAGAATGTCACAAAAGAAGAAACAATCAGAATAAGATTGTTAAGGTTTAAGCCTCTCCTGCCTGATTTATTATTTTGTGCTTTTTATGTGGTTCTGTTTTTAGAGAAATTGAAAAGTAAATAGATTTAGGACCCGATGGCTGTGTATACATTGTTTTCAGACTAAAAGAGAGACAGACTTCCAATTCCTGTTATTTTTGTTTAACATATTTCTGAATATCTGTAAGGCTATTTTATTTAGCCTCAGCCAAATCAAATCTGATCCCTGTATTTTTCCTTTGTGTTTGGAGATATAGCAAAGTAATACAGTGTTTATTGAAATGAAAACTTGTATATGATTGTATGAATGTCTATGAAGTAAAGGCTGTCAAATTCAAGACTACTTGGAAAGATTGCATATGTTCTTCCCTGTCACACATTTGTAGAATTTGTTTTTAGGGTCAAAAATTTTGTTTTAGTCCTTTAGTAAAGAATTTCTTAATATTTTTAAGATCTCAGTTTCTCCTAAATACAATTCATAAGGTGCACTTTTCAGATAAATTCTTTGTAAAGTTAGCAAGAAAAAGAGATTATTTTCTTTTACTGTATCCCCAATCTCAATCTCTTTTTCATCTCTCTGTTTGTTTGTTTGTTTTTTAATTTAATTTTAGAGGACTGCTGAAGTATCAAACTAATTTAGATACCCACCCTCCTGGCTGTATCAATCTTAACCGAATCCGCTCTCAGAATAGTTCCTTACCAGAGTATCTCTCAGAACATATTCATGAAGCTTCCCCTGGAGGATTTCCAAAACCAGAAGAGCTTACCCAGAACACACTTGTGAAGATTTGTGTGGAAGAGCCCAGGTTCCAAGCTAATTTTCCACAGGTCAGATTCATTCTGTGTTTGATCTCTGCTAAGTCTATGTTTCCATACAATGGATCAACATTACATTTAAACATGTTTTTGAAGCTCTGTATTCATGTATAATAGGATATTTCAAGATATTTCCACAACAAGTTAGTACCTCTTATTCTATTACAGCTACCTGACAGTTCAAGGCAAAAGATCTGTAATATTAGAGAATATAGAAAATTTCTGCTTGACTGATCATTTAATCTTTGCATACTGCAGCACTGCTACTTGCTGCCAGAGAGATGACAAATGCATTCTCCCCACTTATTGAGAAAAGCATTGACAAAAGCTGAATAATAATAGGAGTAGTAAAAAAACTACTACTACTGCTTCTAATTATTATTATATTGTAGTCTAATATTGCATTATAATATTATGTATAATAGTACAAACAATAAGTGGTAAAAATCAATTTATTGAATGCTTTATATTATCAGCTGGGCACTGTGCTAAAATGTTCTGTGCACAATATTTACAGTGACTCTCTGAAGCCATTAATATCATCTTCAATTTTCTGATGAAGAAATTGTGCTTTAAACACATAAAATACTTTGACCAATGTCTCCAAGCTAGTAAGTGCATGTGTAGCATGCAAACCCAGGTCTTTGACTAAAACAATTGCTCTTTAAAAAGTTCTTCCTTAAGTACTCAGAAGTTATTAATAGTTCAGTAAGACCCCTAATCTTCCCTTCTACCTGTGAGAAATGTCGACATGCAAATTGGATATGTGGACCATGTACTCTTGGACTATACCAAGTTGAATAGTGATGTCAAATATCTGTTTTAAGAAGAGAAGATAGAGAAGTCAAAAGCTAGAATGAATTTGTGGATGACTTTGGGATAGTGTGCTAGTCTTATGTTTATTGTTTATTAATAATAATCCTCTAGATTTCTGTTGGACTCTAGAATTATCAGAACTTTTCTGAGCTTCACATAAGGCTGAATATTAGGCTGAATATTCACCATACAGTAGGTATGGTGAATCCCATTTTACTTATGTGGGACCTGATGCTCAAAGGGTAAGTGACTGTCCCAAAGTTGCAAGGCTGTTACACTGCAAAACTTGTCCTGCAGTGCACACTCTTCACAGTGTCAAGGTAAATGTCACCATATGCAGAAGAGGTATGATCTGTCTGCCTGGAAAAAGGAAGGTCTAGAACAACTATATAAATAAGATTTAATTTAAAAGGTGACCATTCAGATGAGTTTTAGTTGGAGGCCTCAAAGTGATGTGGATAATGTTAATATATTGTACACTTCTCAGAGTATGTAATTATCCTAGGACCAGGGTTATCCAGGCAGCACACATTCAAAATTGTCATGGTTTCCAAATTCTAAATGCTATCTTCTATTCTTATCATACTATGTAAAAGCAAATTGTTAACAACATGGCTAGCATATTCCATTAAAAAATATATGGTATACATATTTAACATTATATGCACACATTATATGTATGTATATTATGCATATACATTATGCACATTGAAAATCTAGGATTTTCTTTTTTTAATAAACATTGGATTGGTATTCTTTTTTCCTAAAATCATCCTCAGATTTACCTGAAATTTGAACTTCCCTTTATTCTTTAAAGAAAGATATTGTGTATATACCTTATACATTTGTGTGCATAAAAGGATTTATGAAGGAGTGTATACTTAATTGTTAATGGTAGTTACACCTGGGGCATGGATTTGAAGGTAGAGTTTTGACATTGCTTTCTTTTTTATTAGGTCATTAAACGTGAAATGTCCGATTTTGAATCAAAAGTTTAGTTTATTATATCTCAAACAAGAAACAGTACAATTAATCAAAGTATATGTCTAAACTATTCACACAGTTTTGTCATCTTTTTTTTTTTGAGACAGAGTCTTGCTTTGTTGCCCAGGCTAGAGTGAGTGCCGTGGCGTCAGCCTAGCTCACAGCAACCTCAAACTCCTGGGCTCAAGCAATCCTACTGCCTCAGCCTCCCGAGTAGCTGGGACTACAGGCACGCGCCACCATGCCCGGCTAATTTTATATATATATATTAGTTGGCCAATTAATTTCTTTCTATTTTTATAGTAGAGACAGGGTCTTGCTCAGGCTGGTTTTGAACTCCTGACCTTGAGCAATCCGCCCACCTCGGCCTCCCAGAGTGCTAGGATTACAAGCATGAGCCACCACGCCCGGCCAGTTTTGTCATCTTAACAGTAGCTTGTTTATGACAGCAGTGAAAAAGCCTGGAGAGCGAGTGGTGATGAAATTGTGACAGGCATTTTTTCACAGCTTGTTGAGAATTGAATATTTTTTCTTGTAAGAAGTGGTCCAAAGTCTGGAAGAAGTGGTAGTCAGTGATGTAAGGTCTGGTGAATATGGTGGATAACAGAGAGTTTCTAAGTCCAGTTTCTGTAATTTGAGCAGCATTATTTGTGCGACTTGTGGTCAAGTGTTGTCTTGTAAGAGGACTGGCCTGTCTATTGACCAATCTTGGCTGTTTAATTGCAAGCATCCTGATCACTTCATCCAATTGGTTGCAGTAGGTATCTGCTGTAATCTATTGAGCAGGTTTCATGAAACTCTGGTGGATAATACCAGTGCTGAACCACCAAACAAACACCATTAGCTTTTTTTTGATGAATATTTAGTTTTGGATTATGTTTCAGCACTTTACCTTTATCCAGTCATTATGCCAAACACTTGTGATTGTCAAAAAGAATCTATTTTTTTTTATCACATGGAACAATATGGTATAGAAATGTTTCACCTTTGTGTCATGACAGCAAAAAAGGCAAGCTTCAAGATGATTTTTCTTTTAATGTTTGTTTAATTTATGTAGTACCCATCTATTCAGCTTCTTTACCTCATCAATTTGTTTTAAATGGTCTAGTATTGTTGAAATAATGACATTAAACCTTGTTGTTAATTTATGTGTAGGTTAAGATGAATTCGCTTCCACTACAGTTTTTAGTTTATTGTTATCTACCTTGGTCTCAGGTCGTTCATGTAGCTTATTTTAAAGATTAAAATTAGCAGAATGGAACTTGTTAAACCATCAATGTACTACTGTTCATTAGCCACATCCTTTCCAAATACTTTGTTGGTATTTTGAGCTGTCTGTGTGTATCAGTTTTACAACAGAACTCATATTTGAAAATAATATAAATTTTTTACTTATCTATGGTTGTACTAAAACTATTCTAAAAAATTTGAAAGATAACCACAAGTCAGAATGTGCCTTCAAAAGAGTGAGGATGTACCTTTACAATAAAAATAAAACAAGAAGTGTCAAAGTGACACAGATATTAACTGTCAAACTTAGTACTTAAGGAAATCGGACATTTCATACTTAATAACCTATATTTTATACTTTAGTTTTGTATGAATATGTTGCATTGAGCATTTGTCATTTTTTACTCATTTTCATTATATTTTATTGTTTAAAATACACACTAAAGTATTCGTATTGTAATGGATAAATAAGCAATTGGGTAGGGTATAGTTTCCTACAAGTACTTTTTGAAATATATTTTCAAAACTTCTCCCTCAGACTTGGCTTTGGATTTCTGGACCTTTGTGCCTATACTGTGCCGAAAGACTTTACAGGTGTATCCGGAGCAATAAGCCAGTCACCATCATATCAGTCATAAGTCATCCTTCAGATGTCATAGAAATCCGAATGATCAAAGAAAATTTTAAAGCAAGACCTGGCCAGGTGAGTCAGTGATCAGCAACTTTTAAAATAGCCTTTAATCCTTATGTAATTTTTGACAATGTGCAGACATAGCATCATTGGAATAGTTGAATTTCTTTCTTGGTCATTTAAAAATTATCTGTTTGTTGCTTTTTAGTATATTATTCTACATTGTCCCAGTGTGTCTGCATTAGAAAACCATCCATTTACCCTCACAATGGTAAGAAACATGTCTCTTGATTTTTTTAAATTTCTAGGTGCAATGTATTTTTTTCCTTTTTTGCATCTTATTTCATCATAAAAATTATTCAAAGGTATCACAATATCTTTAATGTTTAAGAAAGTCATCCTTTTACAAGGAGAATAGTCATCTGTTCAGAAACTTTGTAACTATTAATTTTTTATTATTTTCTGGCACCTTACATAATTTAGGAAGTAGTGTATTCAGAATTACTAAAACTTATTGATTCAAAAATGCAGAAAATTTCTTGAATATTTGCTTTTTTTCTTTTATGAAGTATATATGGAAATTTAATATGTAATATGTACACATTTTTCTTTAGAAAGATTGAATTTAAGGAAAAAGAAGATATTCTCGGTTGAAGTGAAAACATTTAGAAAATCCAGGCAGTGTTTATAGTAAAGATAAAGCCCAGTATAATTGGCATCCAGGCTATGTATAGGAGAGGAAATGGAAAATAAAGTTGAAAAAATAAAATGGAGTCATTAATATAGGGTGGGTGGCTAGCTAAATAGTGAGCACCATCAAATATGTTTAGCCTATCAGCATATTGATAACTTTATTTTTTGCATTGTAAAGAATATAAGCCCATTATAAAAATTCAAACAATTCACAAATATGAGATAAAATATTAATAGATACTTTAAAAAATTTCCTCTACTTCTCAATTCTTTTCTCCAGAGTTTGACATATATCTTTCCAGATATTTTTCAATATTCTTTGACATATACAAGTGTCTGACATTTGTTTGCTGGATCATATCATTCTGTAACTGGCCACTTTCACTCAATGATACATTATGCACAACTTCTAATGTTACTGTATTTGTATATGCTTCCTTCTTTTTCATGACTATGTAATGTTCCACAGTAGGAAAGTACTGTTAATTTGTTTAATCTTCCCATTGATGAAGGATATTTAGATTTTATTGAATTTCTAATGAAGGTAATTGAAAACAAGAGCCACATGTTTAAATGTATGCTTAAGAAAAATAAAATTAAACAAGTTATTGGCGGGGGCAGAAAAATAACTGGTGTTAAAGTGCTGAGATTTGGGGGAGGGGTTGTATTGGGAGTGGGAGTCACTTTCAAATCGGATGTATTAGTCAAGTTGAAAACTCTGAAACCTTAGACAACTTACTATATCTTTTTGTATATTTGATTCTTCAGTGTAATATTGGGATAAATATACTGACTATTTATAGATTTACTGTGGGTTTAAGTGAACCACTATAAGTAAAGCACATAGAACAGTACCTGGAACATAGATAAGGTCATATCAGATACATATAAATACATATTAACAATTACTATGAGTTTTTTTTTTTCTGTGTGAATTTTCCCCTTGAGAATATATGCTTGTGAAGATGGCTAGGCCCGAAAAATCTGAATTTAAGGGACAAAAGAGACAGAAAGAAATTGTCAAATCATCAGAAAAAAAAAACAACTATCCATTCAATAGTGTTTCTTAGAAAGAGAAAAAATACTTTTGCTTCATTTGCTCCAACTTTTTTTTTTTTCATTCTGTTTGTATGTAGCAAACTTGTTTATTAATGACTAAGGAAAAGTAGTTTGGCATCCAGTGAAATAATTAACAACATTCTGTTTCATCAAGAAAGATGACAACACTGACCTACCACAGGGATGGAATTAATTTATAACTGTGATGATACATGAGTCCAGACACCCTTTCATCTGGTGCTGCATCATGGCTGGCTGGAGTGAGAGGGGAAATATACTGTCATGAGAAACAGTAACAACTTAATTGCCTGCATGGAATATAAAATTGAGACCTTAGAGCCTTTAGGACTCAACTCTTTTTAGGAATCAAGTAGCCATGTCATGTCCATTACTTTTCTAGGATACACGTGCCTTACAAGGTGCTTTTGTAAGATTACCCTTGTTCCATGAGACCAGCAGGAGGTCACTTGCCTAGGCGAAGAATTTATGACTAAGACCCCAATGGCAAATATAGCAACAACAAAAATAAATAAATGGGACTTAATTAAATTAAATACCTTCTGCACAGCGTAGGAAATAATCAACAGAGTGAATAGACAACCTACAGAGTGAGAGCAGGAGGCTTGGCAACTCTGATTCAGAAACCTTTGGATGTAGGCTTTAACCTGAATATTTTACTTCTAAGACATGTTTCCATTTGTCTGCCTGCATACACCCCATATATGAAATTGGTAACATTAAAAAAAAAGGGAGAAAATACACACATAAATTTGTCTTTATTTAAGTAGTTTAATAAATGTGGGTTAATCTTGGGGTCATAAGAAATTTATTTCAGAAATTAGCCTTTTCTTGTTTTGAGACTTTATGTTGATAATTGTTTCTTCACCATAGCGTTAAATAGAGAATATGGGATAAGAAAAGAAAGCAGTTGCTGAATGCCAAGTACAGAGAAGAGTGGGCTTTTTGGTCTTTTTTTCGCATAAAAAATATTTTTTAATATATAGGAAAGTAGAGAGAATAGTAAAATGAACCCCCATGCACCCATCAACTAGCTTCAACAAGAACAGAGAAACTTTGCTTTTTAGTATATATTCTATCACGGAAAACTTTTATGCTCTCTTAAAACAGAAAATCAAAGAATTTTTCACTGATGGCACATGCTGAGTAGAAGCATCTAGATCTAATCTCTTTCAGCTTGCCTAGGCCCCTTTCACAGGGCAAAAGGAGAAATACAAAGGAAGTGGTATGTAGAACCTGGAGGGCTTTGAGCACATGCTTCCTGTGGCCTGACCTGCTTCTTAAAATTCCTGTGGCCTGACCTGCTTCTTAAAAGGTGATTTTGGCAAGAGCTGTGACAGCCCTGGAGCTGGCTTGAGGCACAGATCAGAGGAAAAGAGGGAGGAAGGAATGTAGGGAATAGACAGATGGAAAAGGAGCTAGAGGTAGGAAAGGGTTGAGAAAGGGAAACCAAATTAAATGTGAAATAAAATGGCATAAATATTCACACAAAAGCATGAACTTTAGAATAAAGTTCCAGCTACCTCACTTAGTGGTGTCTGTGTCTGTGAGTGTATCTGTGAGTGTATCTGTGAGTGTCTGTGTCTGTGAGTGTATCTCTTGACATCTCTAAGCCCAGTTTCATCATCTGCAAGAGAGTGCTATTGTTAGTATAATGATACTTATCTGGAAGCGATTTTTGTTAATATTGGTTTAATAAAATAATATGTGTAAAACCTTTTGTTACATGATTGGTGGTTGATACTTGGTAACTACCTTATATTTACTTTTGTAATAAAATATCTGCTTTTAATTTGGATTCTAGTCTTCAGTTCTGAAATGATACTTTTTTGAGAGGCAAGTACAGGACATGAGCATGTAGTTTTTCAACCAGAGAGAAGCCCTGGGAATATTAGTCTCAGTCATTTGAAAATCTGTCATGTAGATAAAGAATTCGATTGTTTTTCCCTTGGGATGCCAAGGTGTAGAAATAAAACTAACAGGTAAAAATTTTTAGGAAAATAAATTCTGATTTACTATAATAAAGACATTTCTAAAAATAAGACTAGTCCGGAAATTATAAATAGCTATCTGTCTCACAGGAGTGTTTGCAAGGATGATTGTACTAGATCAGGATTTTTCAACCTCAGCATTGTTGACATTTTGAGTCAGGTAATTCTTTGGTTTGGTGTGTTGTCTTGTGCATTATAGGATGTTTAGCAGTATCCTTAGCACTAATGCCAATAGTACCCCATATCTGTGATTTGCACAAGTTTCTCCAAACACAGCCAAATGTCCTCTGAGGGGCAAAATCACCCATACTTGAGAGCCACTCTGCTAGATCAGTAGTTGTCCAATGTATCTTACAGTGCTCAAGGGCTCCAATATGTTTTGGAGGCTGCTGTAAGAAGGGAGAATTTAGGAGGCAGTAGAGAAATTGAGAGATTGGAGTGCTTAACTTGTGTTCTGGGGATTCCAATCTCACATCAGTGAGAATAGCCCACCTTCAGCTGGCCTGCATATGAGCATTCTAACAAAATACTCATGAGCAATCATCTAAAAATATTTTTTGCTTACTCACTTAATTTTTTTTGAATTCCATGAAAATTATTTTGGTTACCATGAACGAGTTCCTAAATACTGTCAGGTTATGTAGGTCTTTGAAAAAGAACTTGATTATTTTTCAAATTCAGAATTATTTTTTCATATTTACTGGCATCAATTCCAAGTAATAGTGTTTAGATATGAATCAAAAGGAAAAGTAGGATAGCAGTATAAAGATCCAACAACTTGATCAAGAGTTAAAATGATACCAAGGTCACCTCAAGGACTTGACATTTTGTCATGTGAATGAAAGAGTATTTATTTTCTATGGAATCCCCATATGTGGAGATAGGAACAAAAATACATTGTTTTTGGAGAACGCATATTGGTTTAGTGACTACTTTGGAAAATAAGATATGTGTTTGGATTGGTGGGAAGAGACAGGAGAGCTTTCCCTCACTTTGGGAAGCTCCTTTACATATGCAGGGCACCAGAGCCTCACTGCGGTTAGCCTCCTACCGCAAAAGATATCCATCACCTGGGCCTGAGTCTCAAGGTGCCCCAGAGAGGACTCAGCACTAAGGCTCTGAGTCCATTGCTAGCTTAAGATTCAGCTTTAAGGGTGTATGGGATGGAAGCAAAGAGGTTGGATGTCTGCAGTGTATATCCATCACAGTTTTTCTTCTTTCTTACTTTCTTCAATTAAAAAAAATGTTCATTCTTCCTTCTGCTTCCACAAGAATTTCTCACCAAAATGACAGAGAGGAGAAAGAAGATAATAGTAGCTAAAGCTGGTTGTGGAAGCCATTTTTTCAGTTCTCTTAAAGAAACATCGTTGTCTGAAAAAGAAAGGAAGGAAGAAGGAAAAGAAGGGAGGGAGGAAGAAAGGACATTTTTCTGTGACCTACAATAGTTTGGAAAATGTTGCTTAATATATTCCACTTCTGGAAAGCCATAGAACCTACTAATCCACTAATG